AACTCCTGGATCTCCACAGAGCGGCAGGCCGCAGATGTCGTCACGGTTTCTATATTCTCCAAACCAATTGACTTCTAGTGAAAGGGTAAAGATAATTATTAGTAAATAACACTTTATCGGACAGTTGAAGACTCACCTTTGCGCCCTGTGCTGATTGCGAGGCCAATTTGCAGACACCCAGGTGATTGCTGTTTGCGTTTGCAGCGGCATTAAGATCACTTGATATTAGATTATTGAGCTGGTGCGAGGGCAGCGGTTTTGTCACATGCAATTGGTCAATAGTGTTACTTGTGGCGGGGGAATTGTGAGATTTTTTGGTGTCGCTGCTGCCAGTACAACTGGCGTGGATCACACCAACGTCAATATGGTCATGACTATGCGATACGGCGCCACCAACGCCCAGCGGTGGCAGGCTGATATCCAACATAAGTGAATCGTTGTCGTTCTCCAAAAATCTTGTACTAGTAGCACTGTTCACTTGCATTTTCGCCGCATTGCAGCCACCATCCGCCTGCTGTTGCTTGCTCGATTGGTTGTTGGTGTGGTTTATTTGGTGGCTACTATTGTTAATTTGATTATCATCACTAATGTTATTACTCTTAATGTTCGCGCTATTGTCCGATTGCAATTGGTCTTGCTGCTGCCCATATTCGGATCGCCAATGATCCCTGGGCTCGGTTTCCGTCTCCAGAACATTGCCCATGTTCACAGATGGGAGCAGGTAGACCACGTTGGATAAACTGCTGCTATTGCTGTTCGCGCTGGGACCATTGCTGGTGATGCTGTTGTTGTTGTTGCTGCTGTTATTGTTATTATTGTTGCTAATGACATTGCCTCCACGATGAAGGGTTGGCTGCGGGTTCTCCTTCAGGTTGTTATTGTTAACAGTCAAAGTGGACAGGCTGGTGACACGCAACGGTTGCGATTGACCAGTATCTATAACCTTTGGGATTTTCATTTCCTCTATACTATAGGTACAAGTTAGCTCGTCCAGTGCGGAAAGGCGCTTTTCTTTTCGCTTCTGTCCCAATTTGATGGCAAACTGTTGTGGAGAAAGATGTTACAATATGCTGCGTGAACGGGAATGTCATAGAAACCTACCTCAAGATCCTCGTACGTCTTAAACTCCAGTATAGCGAATCCATCGATGATTTCCTCCTCGAGCACCGGAGATCGTGGCAGCTTTCTTCGAACCGGAGGTGGTGGTCGAGGCGGTGGCTTGTCGCGTGGCAAGAGCAGTGTGGACGAGGACGAGGTAGAGAGCAGATCCTCGTCCAGCGACTCACCCTCGCTGTCACTAGGCGTGGCCATCAGTCCCGAGTTGCATTCGGGGGAATGTGGTGGATTTAGGAGTAACGATGCAATACTATCTGTGGGCGGCAGCAGATTGTTGCTGCCATTGCTGCTGCTGGTGAAGTTTCCATTTGAATTGTTGCTATCCTCGCCCATGCTACCAGCGCTGTTGATGTGATAGATCATGCCATTGTTGCCGGGTCCTGCCGCCGAACCGTTGCCCATTGCAACCGCCGAGGATCCGCCACCGACGCCGCTGTTGGGCGTGATGAGGCCACCTCCCTGGCCACCATTCGCCGCACTCATGGCACTGCCGACCCCCACAGAGGATCCGGCTATGAAGGTGCCACTCAGCGAGCTGGCATTGCATCGACTGTCGCGTTCCGCTTGCAGGCGCTGGGCACGTTCCCTCCGGCGTTTCTGCTGGCGCTGTTGCTTGGCATTCAGACTTAGGTGAGTGCTGCTGCTGGAGGTGGTGCTGTGGCCATTGGTATTCCCAGCAGCCACCGCTCCTGATCCCGCTCCGAAGCCAGTCTGATTACCGGCATTGTTAGCAGTGCCTACTCCACCTCCTCCCGCACTGGAATTCAGCTGTGGCATTATTGTGGATGCCGCCGCAGTCGGAGGAGACGCCGGGGATCGCGAATCTATGCCGGCTGAGGCGGAGACGGCCGCTGCGGCTGCCACAATCGAGAGTTCCGTGTCGGAGTCAAAGTCACAGACACTGGGAGCCATCGATACCGCCGAAACAGGTGGACAGGTGGGCTCCGATGTGCTGACAGGTGATGCCGGGGGAATCGCTGCCACGGCCATGGGTTTGCCGCCATCCGATGCCGACGACGCCGTCGTCGTCGTCGAGGAGGTGTTCGATACAAACGATGGCCGTGCACGCGGCATGGAGCCCAGATCGGGTATATTGGCACTTGCTTGAACTAAGGCAGTCGCCGTCGGCGGAGGAAGATGCAGTACCGCCAGGGCGCCGGTCGAACTCTTGGATATACTCTGACCCACTACCGTGAGCACTGTGGACTGTGGCTGTGACTGCGTCTGTGACTGGGACGACTGTGAGCTGGAGTGTGAATGTGAGTGGGAGTGTGACTCGCTCTTCTCATCCTGGACTGGGACAGCGGGAACGGAGGATCCGATGTCCTGCGACGATGATATATGCTTGATTTGGGATCCTATTCCATTAATACTACTGCTGCCCGACGCAGACGTCTTTGATTTAGCGCTGGCATTTGATGTGTCCATTTCTTTTGCTACGTAAAGCTTCCAGTGGATTACACTTCAGTTCCTTTTCCTTGGGAATACAAATTATCGATGACCATTATTATGTATATTGCTATCTGGACCAAACCTTTTCCAATGCATTCGGCTATGAATTTTATCTATATTTCTTTTTATATTTTTTTCTTTGGAAGGAGGGGTTTTCTATGCCATCGATAAGGCGAAAGCTTTACAAATATTGGATTTAAGGTGGTACTACGGCCGATTCAATCGCGTGTATTTTGTAAAAAATCGATGCTGCGCCGACTGTTTTTAAGTGATATTGTTATTTGGTGGCCACTGTGGGGTTTTTCACTTTCCGACCGGTTAACATATTTGATTTTGATTAGAGTCACAATTTTGGTTCAAAATAATACTTGTACAAGTTGTTTTCATTTCTTTTGCTCGTTTTCTTGTGCTCAACTTCCCTATTGCGCTTTTTTCTGTACACACACACATAATATTTAATTCTGCACACTTTTTTTTACAACAAACACTTATTGTATTATCGGGTCAGCAGGCTTGCACACAAATTGAACAGATGTAAAATATATTGAAAAAAAAAATAAATAACATAAAGCCGATATGAGAATTCACCGAAAATAGTCCATATTTATTTTGTCTAGCACTTTATCATTCGTCATATACTCTTCTTCTTCTTCTTCGTATTCCTCCTCTGCTTCTTCTTCTTCTTCTTGAAATATATGTATGCACATATATGTACGTACATGCATGCGTACATATAAATTCGTACGAGTATATGTATGTATATTTATATACGCAGGGAGGTGGTACACCAGTTCGGTTTTGCTTGTGCTTTTGCTGTTGCTTTTTTTCCTTCTTTCTTTCTTTCGGCCTTTTTTTTCTCTATGCCTCCGTGCTCCGTTCCGTCTATAAGTCTAAAGTTGACAATGTCGTTGCCGCAACGGCGCGCTAGTTAGCATTGTATATGTACAATATGTGCTCCGCTCTCTAGCAGAGAGGCAGAAGCAGAGGCGAGAGCAGAAAGAGCAGCAGCAGCAGCAGCAATAGTCATCTCGCTTACACTTTTCTAATTGCGATTGCGACGATTGCCGTAGCCGTCGACATAGTGTCGTCCCTACATGTTGTGTACTCAGTAACAGACAGCGCAGCGTCGTTAGCACCAGTACACAGCACGTACATACAAAATACGACAACGACAAATACGACGACGACGACGACGAATTTTTGTGAACTGTATGCGATTGTTCGTACATTTTTACATTTTCCACACACACCAAACGCACAACGAAAGGCCAAAACGATCGAATGTGCATCAACGTGTTAAATGCATCGCTATCAAACTAACTGTCATCACGGCTATTATGTATATTTTACATAAAATCCAATATTATTTTCCGAAAATTTTGTTAACCACAAAGAACCAACATAGTCTCTCAGAGACGGACCAAATTTTCGATAACTGCAGAAAATCATTTTCAAGGGGATAACATTATGATAACTATCGAAAGCGTAGACAGTCTCCACTGGTATCCGCGATTTCAGGCGTTTCACATCGATAGCAAGATGCGAGGAGTTAGAGCCGAAAGCAGCGATATAATTTAATCAGCTGTTTTGGTTCTGATTTGTATATGGTAAATAAAATCATATATAGCAAAAATAACGTCAGAATATTAACGGTGGTTTTCCAAAATGTATTTCGATCGAAATTTTTGTACAATTCTGCGAAACAACATTACAAAATTCAGCTGCCGTTTGATGAATGTAGTAAATATTCCACAGACATGTTAATATTTTTAACATATTATAATTAACATGAACTATTAGTTACCACCGAAATCGGTGGTGCTTCTACATATTTACATGAAGTTATATTTTACATGTACAAAACCATGAACGTTAGTGCGGTGGGAACAGTGGAAAATAATGCATTCAAAAAATACTGGGAACAAATGGAATTTTATAACCTATTATTTTCAAACGTATGATCAGCTCGAAATGGTGATTGAATGGATTGAATTTTTTTACCGAATTATAATAATTTTATTATTAAAAAACCAGTTTTTAGCTTTTGTTGTAGTTGAAAGTTCCTCCCCCTCCCAAATAAAAAACTCTGTTTTAAGTATTTAATTTGTATTTCAAATATAGTTACATTTAAATTTATATTGCCACGAAAATGACTCCCATACCCTCACACATTGGCCTCCTCCTTAAATAATTTTATGATTTCCGTTTGATACATTTGTATGAATATACGACTATAATATATGGAACAAGATCACATCACAACGTGAATTATAGTAACAACTATAGCTTTTGTCAAGGCTGCACTCTAATAACATTCAAAAACGATTGTATTTGTTTTAAATTCTTCTGAAATGTTCATGATAAATTTAATGCCTTGATTTGTATGGTTCAAATTGGGGCGTATTTTTTAAATGTTTTCCAAATAGGTCTTGTTCTCGGTTTTGAAGGAGCAGAGGCAGCATCAAAAGAGTCGGAAATGCTATTTAGTTTTGTTGTGTTTCTAACCGAAAATAAACTATTACAGCCACATCCAAAAGCAAAACAAAAAAACCGATTTCGCTAACAGTCGGTAGAAGAAGTGGGCTGATTTTGTGCGTTGTTTTTGTTTGTTGCATTGCCTTGCAAAATGTGACTTTCTTGTTTGGTGTCATCAGTCTCAGTTTTCGACTTGGGTAGGTTCTTTCGTTCTTGTTCATCATTATTAATATTCTCCTCGTCCTCATCATCGTCATAGTTGGTTGGTTCCTCGCCTTTGCGCAAAAGCTTGCCAACCAGCTCGTATTTTTCTAAATAACGTAATAAAAACGTTAGCCACCAGTAGATCTCGGCATATATACGATTTATTTACCCTTAAACTGCATTTCCCATTCCCGCACAGAGTCCATTTCGACGGCACTTAAATCGCTCAGGTCATCGTATTCATCCTTATCTATTGCATGCACGCTGAAAGTGGCCAAGTTTCGGGAGGCATCTCTTCCCGCAAAAGTTGCGTAGGGTCCACCTGCAAATCAGAGCATCATATGTTATCATACGTTACTATCTACACAGTTTGTTGGTGTCAGCAGTCTGGTCATCTTTCCACGGCACCATAGATAGAATATAGTACAATTAAGTGCGCAACTTAAGGGTTTTCTGCGCATCTACGTCACAAGTGTCAGGCATCTTGCTCGCACTCATTAGTTTTAGTTACAATACTTAAGGGAAAAGTGCAATGCATTGTTTAAATTCCACTGTTGTCAGTATAAAGACACTAACATTGAACACTTTAAAATAAGAACTATTCCTCGAATAAAAACCGTACTTAATAGGCCGGTTAATATTTAAATTACTATCCCATAAATACTTCAATAAAAATTACGATCATGATGAATTATTTTCGCATTTCATGCCTAACAATAATTTATGTAGAAATTACCTCGTCGATATTTGGTAGGCATAATTTAATCATTGAATTTGGGTAGATAGTTGCGTTATCTCAAAACGAAAATTTGATTAGCTGTTAATCTAAGCGCAAAAAAATGACGAAATATGGCAGAGATATGCACAAATGTCGTGGGTCTTCCAAGGCATATCTCCGCCCACAGAAATTAAATTCGATTAAGAAAGTAACAGATATCACGAAAACCAATAATGTCATATAGCATTGCAATTATAGATAAACATCGTATATGGATAATAATACGGCGATCTTGGCAATCCGGCACACAATAAAGCATATGTATAATAAATTGCAAGATCACTTCTTTATAATCTGCTAAAGATCAATCTAAAATATTACTTCGGAGCACCTTGAATTGAAATATTTATAATCTCACACTCACCTGGACCGTAGAAACGCCTTCCTTTGCAAACATCGTAAACACTTCCATTGACAGCGACCAAAACGCGGCCATCCGGCTGATTTCCATCGTACTGGCGCAGCTCCTTCACGGTGAAATCGCGGCGAATTTTGGGTAATTCCGGTTCGGATGGCTTTGCAACGCCCACGGATGGCACTTCAGTGCGATCACGAACGATTTTATAGACCAGGAAACAGATGATGGCCAAGAGAGCCAGGTTCATTGGACTGTACAGGATTTCGCGCAGAATGTTGCCCAGAAATGTGGAGTCATCGTTGTGTAGATTATTGCCGATTTCCTTGTCGTAGGCCGAGTTGGGATCTGCACCAACTTTGGATTCCATCTTGTTTGGATAGTTTATTTACTGCACTGGATGCCGCTATGCACTGAGTGTTACAATATTGTACATCAACCTGCGAATGTGTATACCGTCATTTGTTTTAATGTAATGTAATGTAAAAAAAAAACCTTTTCGGTATTCCGAAAAAAGTGTGAATATATGTGAGCGCATTGGTAATGGACCAAAATATATGTACATATGTAATTGCAATGTAAATTCCAAAGTTTATTAGCTCACCTTTTAGACGTGCCGTTTCGATTCGATTATTTTCATATTCCTGTGTTCAATTCTTTCTGCGCAACAATGATTTCATAAATGAATATATTTGTTGCTCAGCAGCACTGACCTTTTGCGACTTACTGTATTTACAATTTTACGAACTATCTATGAAAATTGCGACAATGATTTTAGTAGGTTAAAGGTCTTTCATTACTAAAAAGTTATCGACAAAAGCGATAGCAGCGTGTTGTCAAACACCAAATAGGTATAATGCGGTATTCCTACTGAAAATGTTCTTATAGAATGGTGAGAAAAGCTATAAATAGGCAAAGTCGTTTCTCACTGAGCGAAAATTCCAGATTTCAAGAGTATTTATGTTGGAAATTTTAAACAACTGACTTACATTCATCGTTTTCATGGCTTACGTTATATTTTATATTATAATTTTTACGTTATTTCGCATTTTATTCCTAAACATTATTTACATTTTTCGAAGCCTGGGAATAAAAGCTACATAAATGCAATTGCAATTTTTATTTAGAATTGGCAAACCTTAGTTTATTTATACACTTACTTACCTATTTTGACTTTAGTAGTAGTAGTAGTTAGTTAGTAGTAATTAATAATAAATATAGAACACGTAGTGTACCTTTTTATGCTTATGGTGAGTTCTAAATACTGAAAATTAAAAATATAACATTTTCAAACGAATAATTTGACAATTATGAGGTTATAATTAACTTCAACAGTAATCAGGTAATCAACAGTTAAAAAGCTCCTAAAATTCTGTGGATTCTTGAATATGACCATAAAGCGTTATAACAAACGGTGCGCAGTGCAAATAGACTATCCCAACAATAAGTGTCCGAATTTTTTTCCATCTCTAACGCATAATTCCCAAGTGGCTGGTCACACCGATGTTATTCCACATTGTATTTTGTATTGTATTCTATTTTATCCAATCTAGGGAATATATTTAAGGCAACTGGACTAAATGCTAAGCATTCGTGTTTTAAGGCTACAAAATGGACACTCTGTTCTTAGCAATGCATGCCAAATTGCTCTATCGCGACACAAGAGCTCCAAAAGGTCAAGTAAAGACAACGTAACGCGCCAGGGAAAAATATTTGGCTCGTTGTTTGGAAGTCGGCTTAAAGGCAGCAAAAACCATTGGTACCCATCGCCCGATGCAGGTACATCAGGCAATCAAAAGTCACTGCACGCCCTGAAATTTGGAAAACCACACTCGAACACTACTGCAAACCATAACAATCGACGCATGTCCGTGCTGAACAAGTTGTTCATGACGAACATCACCGATATTCTGGCCACCGGCGCAGTTGCCGATTCCATCGTGGGACAGGGAGTGCAGATTTCATATGTCAAGATCACCAGCGACTTCTCCCGGATCAATGTCTATTGGATGGGCAAGGATGGCGGGGAAAACCAAGAGCTAGAGGACACATTGAATCGCATTAGCGGCAGACTGCAACACGAGCTGTCGCAGCTGCATCTGATGGGCGAAGTTCCAAAGATCAAGTTTGTCCGGGACAAAACGAGCACTGGTCTTCATCAGGTCCAGGAGGTTCTGTCCAGGATCGAGATTCAGTATAGTTACTATAGTTCAACTTCTGCGGAAGCTGAAGAAAGCAATGCAGAGAGTTGTCAGACTGCTGCGGATGAGGAATGGCCGGAGATGCGTCAGGATTTCCTCAGTTTTAACCAAAGCTCAGTTATGGACAAGATTCTCGGCAAGATGCGCAAGTCCAAAGAGGCCTGGGTCAATCATAGGCAAAATATTGCCAAGACCTAGCGTTTGTTAAATTCTTTGACTTATGTACATAATATTAATTATTATTATTAAAGTGTTACTTAATACAATATAAATTGCGCTCTAGAGTCGATTATTTTCTTAACATTAGTTTTGTTTCTAAAAAGTTCACCATGTCGAATGGTTTCAAAAAGGAGAATCGACTGCATTTCTAAATAAAGCATTAACGGCTTAAAATTGAATGTCAAAGGTCGTATCATCACTATATTCGATTATGCTGTTATATATCGAATTGAGTTGTTTTCAAAGCCTGCGCACTGCACGTCTGTTTACGATATTAAAGCAAACACGTAGTTAAGTCGGACATGCGCAAAAAACGAATAGTTTTAGGAGCTTTTAGTATGAGGTATATATGTCCATTAGGATACGCCTATTGTGGCTGTGCATTTCATCAAATTGAGGCATAGCAATCACTTGCAAATTACTCCAACCAAATCAGCTGTTGTGATTGTTGCGATAGTGCGCGACCTTGCGCTTGGATTGTTATCGATAGCGGATGCAAACCTTACGAGTAGTATCGAAACCAATACTTAGTTTCGGCCTATTGAACGAATCGATATATCGATGTATCGCGAGTGTTTCACCCAGCCCTATCAATTATACCAAAAAATCAGACCAGACCAGCTTATCGGGTACAGATTGATTACTTTCTTGCATCTCTAGTTTTAGTCGAAAAAATCCATTGAAACGATTTGGAAGCGGAGTGGTGGTGATAGTCGTCAGTTTGCACAATAGGAAGAATATTTGTTTAAAAGACCAAAGCCCAAATTGTTGATGCGTTTTCGCAGCGCGCTTCTTGTGGCGATAAACATGACATCTACACTAACACAACACTGTTACGCCTGAGAAATAAGTGACAAATTGGAAAAGTCGATGATAGTTTCGTTTGGGAGTATATATACAAATTCTTTTTGTGTAAATGTCGATAAACACTTTTGCTTGCAACCCAACAATCATACCCACCTTTACCTTTTCGCGATTCCAATGAGTTTCGCTATTTATCCATTATAATCAAAAGAAGCATTAAAGGTTATTGTGGTGATACATACAATATATCGGGTTAATCGTGTGGGAGAATGAGTAACTCATGAGTGCTCTCCAATAACGATTTCTGTTTGCAATTCGCTTCTTTAACCCCCCTCCCATTTTATCAATTTTTTGTGTGGATTTTTTTTTTGTAATCTTTATGGTCATACAAGTGTATGTAAAGAAAAGTGATGAAACGCATGAAAGTATTTATAATGCAGTAATTGTAATTTGCAGAGGAGTGTGCAGTGCAGAAAAGCCAGCGATTAAAGGAACAACAAAAGAAAAACAAGAAGAGAGCAGGAAAAACACAAAAACAACGACACCCGGACGAGTTGGGATCGCAGTTCGATCTGAGTATCTAATCTTATCTAATTGTGTGGGAAATCAGAGCTCGCCGCAATGGATAATTTAATAACAATTGTAAACAAGCTGCAAGATGCGTTCACATCGCTCGGCGTCCACATGCAATTGGATCTGCCACAGATCGCGGTGGTCGGTGGCCAATCAGCTGGCAAGAGTTCCGTTTTGGAGAACTTCGTGGGCAAGTGAGTATCCCCAACGCCTAATCACCATATCACCATTTCCCACTATCATACCATATCACAGTATCCCCCTATCAGCACCAGAAATATCTAGCCTATATTTTAATTGATAATGGACCTGAAGGCCTCTTTGGCCTGCAGTGAATCGATTTTTCTGCAAGTCAGTTTTCTGCGAAAAGTAGCGCTTGATTTCTATTATTTCTGGGCCTAATGGCGAGCCCAATTAAACGCTGCTGAAAAACTATGCTTAATCGCTGATAGCACTCACTTTCAGCATTTTCTGTTTGTTGTTTATTAACAATCAATAATTGCTTTTTTCGAAACAAGTGTACTTGTTCATTATGACCAAACCATATCAGTGGTCTTAACTTAATTATGATGATAAGAATTATATCTTTCGCCTGCACAAAAGCTGTTGAAAATACGAAAAGCTCCACGGCACGGGAATTTTCAACTAATTCAAGAACACCTATTTCCAAATTGTTAAACAGAAATCTAAATTGTATGTATCAATGCGATTTCTTGTGTTTGTATCTATAAGCCTGCGCTGTCTCTCATTTTTCTTTGTTAGTGTCCATTCTAAATACAAACATAACGAAAACAGTGACTTACGCCCCAAAAAAATGCAGATAAGGCCATTGATAGTACGGCCGAGATTTGAGTTTTCCCCACTTTTACGGCCGATTTGTAAAGTAACTGGCATTCTGTATGCCTTTCTATGTTTACCTACGAATATTTTTGAAAAAGTTTAACCTCTTTTATAGTTGATTTATTTATTTTCCATTGCTTGCAAAGGGGTGAGCTAAAAAACATTAATCAATATGCCCATTCATGTATTTACGAACTGCATTAAACCATGTAAAGTTTGTGCTTACATAAGCCCACTATGTTCAAAATAGTCCAGATACATTTCGCATGCGCCGTGGCTTATATGTATGTATGCAGGTATGTAGGTATGTACGTATGGATGTCAGTTAGGGTGGTTCCCCCGCCCACCTGGCACACTGAGCCGTTGGAGGAAGCGAGAGAGGCAGACACCCACGGCCACCAGGCCAAAGTTTTAATGTCACGGAATATTAAGACCTCTATTAACTAGGTAGTACAAACAGGATGTAGGTGACCAAAGTGGTCGAAATGACCCATTTCCCATTTGATTTATTAGCCTAGCTTAGCTATCCAATACCTCTTCTTTAATTACTTAGGTATTCAGCAATTCGTTTTGGTGCCAAAATCCTTGAGGGGCAGACCAAAATACATGTTTAAACAACATTTTTGGTGTCTGGAAGTACTCACTTGGAAATTCAATTTATCGCATAAGTTATATTTCAATTTTTTTGCCTACAAATGTTTGCCTATTTTACAGAGATTTCTTGCCGCGTGGCTCTGGTATCGTGACTCGCAGACCGCTAATCTTGCAACTGATCAATGGAGTTACTGGTATGCCGAACATTTGAAGTCATTTAAGAGTTCTATTGAAATGGCATTTTCTATTTGTTGCAGAATATGGAGAGTTCCTTCACATTAAAGGCAAGAAGTTTTCCAGCTTCGATGAGATCAGAAAAGAAATCGAAGATGAAACGGATCGTGTGACCGGTAGTAACAAAGGCATTTCAAACATTCCAATTAATTTGCGCGTCTACTCGCCGCATGTACTCAATCTAACCCTGATCGATTTGCCCGGCCTGACAAAAGTGGCCATTGGCGATCAGCCGGTAGATATTGAGCAGCAAATTAAGCAGATGATATTCCAATTTATTCGCAAAGAGACTTGTTTAATTCTGGCTGTGACCCCGGCCAACACCGATCTGGCCAACTCGGATGCCCTCAAGCTGGCCAAGGAGGTGGATCCACAGGGTGTGCGGACCATTGGCGTTATAACCAAGCTGGATCTGATGGACGAGGGCACCGATGCACGGGACATTCTGGAGAACAAGCTGCTTCCACTGCGCCGTGGCTACATTGGCGTGGTGAATAGATCCCAGAAGGATATCGAGGGGCGCAAGGACATCCACCAGGCGTTGGCCGCCGAGCGCAAGTTCTTCTTGAGCCATCCCTCCTACCGGCACATGGCCGACCGTCTCGGCACCCCCTACTTGCAGCGAGTCCTCAACCAACAACTTACCAACCACATCAGGGACACGTTACCCGGCTTGCGGGATAAGTTGCAGAAGCAAATGCTCACCCTGGAGAAGGAGGTGGAGGAGTTTAAGCACTTTCAGCCGGGCGATGCCAGCATCAAAACAAAAGCTATGCTCCAGTAAGTCCGGAAAGGGATTGCAGTTGGTATATTTTGATTAAAATGGTGTATTCATATTCCTACAGAATGATTCAGCAGCTGCAATCAGACTTTGAGCGAACTATTGAGGGAAGCGGCTCAGCTTTAGTGAACACAAATGAGCTCTCAGGTGGCGCCAAGATCAATCGCATTTTCCATGAACGGTAGGTGTCTGCATTTTCTAAAACCCCTACACCTTTGATAACATCTCGTTGCTTCAGTCTGCGCTTTGAGATCGTTAAGATGGCCTGTGATGAAAAGGAACTGCGACGAGAGATCTCATTTGCAATTCGAAATATCCACGGTATTCGCGTTGGCCTCTTCACACCCGACATGGCGTTCGAGGCGATTGTCAAGCGGCAGATAGCGCTGCTTAAGGAGCCGGTTATCAAGTGTGTCGATCTAGTCGTACAGGAACTTTCTGTGGTTGTGCGCATGTGCACAGCTAAAGTAAGTTAGCTTAATGAACCGAGCTCTACACAGAGTTTAATTTGTATTTTCTTTAACCAGATGAGTCGATACCCACGTCTGCGTGAGGAGACCGAACGTATTATCACAACACATGTGCGTCAACGCGAGCACAGCTGCAAGGAGCAGATTCTTCTGCTCATTGACTTTGAGCTGGCTTACATGAACACCAACCATGAGGACTTCATTGGTTTTGCCAAGTGCGTAATGGGTAATATAGAAGAACATATGGAAAACTAAATCTTGGTCTCATTATAGCGCTCAAAATAAATCGGAGAATGCCAACAAAACTGGCACTCGTCAGCTGGGCAACCAAGTTATTCGAAAGGGTCACATGGTTATCCAGAACCTTGGTATCATGAAAGGTATGCAGTATTCGCTTTCTCTCAAGTTCACCGTATGTTTTTCAATCAACTGGCTATATCTGTGATTGGGGCAGTAACATTGTAAATGGTGACAGATTGCTTTCTTAGAAATTTAGTTTCTAATGTTTCAAAAAAGGAAAGTGCGTTTAGATTTGTCACCGCTTGGTGGCGGGACATTTTTAGCCTCTTATAATTTCAAATTTTATGTGAATATTGTCTTTGTCATTAAAAGATATAAAATTAGGACGATCTGGACCGCTAAACGTACGGTTTTTCAGTCATTCTACAGGTATTATAACGTTTCTGTTGCTTTTGTGTTTTTGCGTTTAATCATTTCATTAAATCATTTTCAATCATTATTAAATCATCCGAATCAAACAAGATCGTTGACTATCATGGGCACCGAGTATCCTTCATGTAAAGGATTCGTAGGTAAAAAATCAAGCTTGACTAACAAAATTGAAGATGGTTACTTCATGAAGAGGTGAAGTTTATGAACGTTGCATCTACTAACCCAAAAACTGTTGCGTTTCTTATTTAGGGAGTTCATGGACCTGTATTGATTTTCGCATATGTGTCTTGCAGGTGGATCGCGCCCCTATTGGTTTGTGCTGACATCCGAGAGCATCTCCTGGTATAAGGACGAGGATGAGAAGGAGAAGAAGTTTATGCTGCCGTTGGATGGTTTAAAATTGCGTGATATTGAACAGGGATTTATGTCAATGTCTAGACGTGTTACATTTGCTTTATTTAGTCCCGATGGACGTAATGTTTATAAGGTTAGTAATTTTTGTTAACATACAAAAAAATGAATTTTAAATGATTTCAGAAAACAAAACCAGAGAAAAACTTGTAAATCAAAATAACTAAACAAACAAACAAAATCAATTTTTGAAGATATTTTTTCGCAAAATATTTCAAATCTTCATTATATTACCCCAATTTGAATCCTTTGGTTAAAATAGTCGGGCAAGAGATCAATTAATTATTTTTTTGTATAATATAAAAATTACTATGTTTTTATCAACATTTAAGTCGAACTAAAGGAAAAGGAGCTTGCCGCGTCGTAAACTCCTTTTGCCTTTTGATTTCGTGATGCTATTAGCTTAAGAAGTTCACGGCTCTATTTGATTCACAATGAATCGCGCAAAAGTAGTCATCCATCATTATCTAACCTCTCGATTGTATTAAAGCTTATAATACTTTCCAGAAACTTTGTTTCGATCCTGCACAGAATCGTTATAACATCAGAATACTTTTCAAATCGATATTGCACTTGGAAACCGAAACTATCGATCACGATTTTTGCAATACAACCTTGTTAGCATCCAGCTTAAGCTCACGCTATATTCCTGTAATTTATACTGGTTGGTCAAGGTTAAAAGCAGGGACTTTCCCTGATTTCCATTAAATATGTTGTATTCTGTGTAGTTCTTTAAAAGCTTCGAACTTTTTGCCTTAGACGAGGTTTCCTTTAGATTTAACAGCATATAGTGCTTCTTCTTAGTGGATGCAATGGGTGTAAGCTGTAACTACCTATTTCCTTCCTTTTCGGGACTTTTAAGAGGTTGTTTCCTTCCAACTCATTGTAAGCCAGTCGACCTTTCATCCAGATTCCCTCATATATGCCAGCAATTTCCTTGTTGCCTTTAAATACTTTGCCAGGCTAGTTTACACGCAACTTAACAACTCATCTTACACGTTTGCTCAGTGCAAAGTCTTACCACTTAAAACATCACCTAATACACAGATTAAACGCTTATTTTTAAGGCGCCAACAGTTTTTATATGCATAAGTCACTACAAGCAATACTTGAAACGTCTGAACATTTAAAAAATATTTTTTAGAGATTATAGAACGCGTTTTCAGCAAGGCATCGCTCTTCACGGACTGCGAAATCCTGGATTCAAAAGAACTGATGGTCTGATTTAATTTAAAAGTAATAACATCTAGGGCCGTATCAGGCTAGCTCGCTCAATTTCCTTATATTATATGGAACATAGCAATATAACCCACTTTGTTGTCATTGCAAACATCGGCAACACAAGGCAATATTAATTTTTCTTGCATTCCTAAAGGCTACTCTCATCTACGATGACTTTCAAAATGTGAAATCTTCAATGGGTATATCTACAAAGTGGTTATTACAAGTTTTTGAACCTTTTTTCAACTTTTCTCTTCTGTGAGTCCGTCCGCATTGAAAAGAGGATCTCGGGAACAGGGAAGATTGCCAAATCCAAGGATCTTCATAGCAGTAGTCTTTTATAATTCAGGACCAGCAGAGGTGACCAGAGTAGGTGAAAGCGTATCGAGCACATCCAAACATAGGTTTCTGACAAAAGCGAACCCTACCAACAAAATCACCAACTTGCAGAACTGATATTCAATTGAATGTAGTACCATAGGCTAAGCCAAGTGCTGTTGTATCAAAAATGTTTCATTCTCTGCCTTCGAACACCCGGTATTCTAGGACTACAAACAACTGGAGCTGTCGTGCGAGACTGTGGAAGATGTGGAGTCCTGGAAAGCTTCCTTCCTGCGAGCTGGTGTTTATCCCGAAAAGCAGGAGACTCAGGAAAATGGCGATGAGGTGCGTACATAGAAACCATTAATCCCTATAAATATTTGCCTGCGTCCTAAGGCTTGACTCTACACTAATTGGATTCAAAAAAAGCCCTTAATGAACTAGTGGCTCTATAGAAATATTATCCGGCTTGAAAAGTGTACTAGGCCTTTGGTGGTAAATGTGAACTCTGTATGGTGTAACCATATTATACATAGCATTCTGATGCTATTCTTTTTTCTAGCTTTGTTTCTCAGAGCTTAGAGCTTTAAGGTTGCGTTTTATATGACCGTTCCTAAAGATATTTCCACTTCAATTGAAAACAATTCCGAATACTACATTATCTATATATTTATATATCTTTGTTTTCGCTGTTCCATTGACCAAATCAACAAAATAACTCGGCATATTGATGCTTTATGTATGTATTCGTCATGCAGGAAGGACAAGAGGTTTGTTAATCTTTGTAACTTTTCGGCTTATATATATTATTGGTGTACTCATCAATTAAATGTCGTACAAATGTATGCGATTTTGAATACTAATAACTAATACATTATTTTAACATCCTTTTTATTTTTCTTTCGTTGAATTTTTGTTGTTTCATTTTTAAAGTCTGGTGACGTATTTTAGCCGTTATTGGATACAAATTATTTATATTTGAAAAAGGAATCAAAATGTAAAAGAATCTAACTTATTACTAACATATTAATCGGTTCACGATTTGGTAAAATTAAGTAACTACGGCTGTAAATGTCATCACACTGTCCAAAAGCATATGAGCTAAAAAAAGATCTATAAAGCAGCGTATTTCTTAAAAGCTAGTACACCTTGAAATCTCAAAATGGTGTAACCCCTAAATGGTTAAAGGTGCGATTGATTACCATATCACAAGCCGAGTAATATAAAATGGTTATGGATATAAATCTAAATCGGATACGATTGTGTTCAAATCGGAGACCTCTGAACTAGGCTTTCAAAAGAAAAATTCTAGGAATATTGAATGATCTTTCGCGACAATTCAAGATTGCAATTGGATTCATCCTACTCGGGCTGTGATGCATTTTTTTCATTAGCCAAAGTTGTAGTTTGTCGGTCCTCCATCTTGTTTATTTGATTAACTTAGAATTACTGATTAAGATAGTCGGCAGTTCGACTATGGCATTGTTACTGGTTTCTTATAACAATTGTGAACATGTTGTTCTCTTCTATTTTTCCGCCAACTACCGAACAAAAAACGACCAATCTATGAAACGCCAAAATACACACAAAATTAATAATTTCTTCCGGTTGGTTTCTTAGCAAAAAGTATGTTGATTTCAATTGTTTATATTGGGTTAATTATTTTCCTTATGTAATTGTTGCATTTCCTCACAATCTAATTATTCATTTATACCCGCTACTCGTGCAGTTACTCGTAATTATATTCAATCCTATGGAAGATGTAGCAATGTCCGTTTGTCTGAATGATCGTCGAGATTTGGGAATCGAAAAATGCTAACGACTTGGACTTGGATTGGATCCACGGGAAGTGAAGATATTGAAACGGGCTAAAAGTAGCGGGTATCCCATAGTCGGATACTCGGCTATATCGTTCCTCATTGATTTTAATCAATTTCAAGATGACTTGTCTTCGATTTAAGTAAATAAGTGTTACAGATATATGTAAGGTCTGCCTATATTGTAACTATGCAATTTTACTTAAATTGACGGTCGTCGAGTGCATGCACTTTGACCTTTTCAAGATAATTTGTATTATATTTTACAATTGGATTAATTTACTTCACTCAACGTTCGAAATCAAAATAGTCAAACGCATGCCACTCGAATTGTTTTCATCATATTCAAAGATGGGAGTTTGAAATCGCAATCATATTTATGTAATATGTTTAAGTTTCAGAAGATTGGGGCTTAAAACTGTAACATCTGCAGGACTTTTTTGGTTTCGGTGATTTGTTCTATTTTCAATCTCTCAAATGTTTTATTGCTTGGCGAAATGTTTCAAAATGTCATGGTATGAGTATAGTTTTTTTTAGTAATGATCCCTGTTTAATAATTACAATAAGTCAGAATATTCAGAATCCAAATATATGGCATCACCAAAGTAAAATTACATTTTATTTCACTTAATGTAAAAATGTTTTAGAAAAATACAAGGTCAGTGTTTTCGAAATTAAATATTCTAGACTTTTGAAGAAGGCTGTTGAGGGGTTACGCCACCCTGGAAAAAACTTGGAAACATTTTTAAAAATTGTACCTTTTTATGAGTGATGCATTCATTCAATTCAAAACATTTACTTTTGGTCCCTCCGGCGCCAGAAAATTTTCAATACAGCGCGTGCATGCATGTTTTCCTATTTTTTTTTTAAAGAAAGCCATACGATATCGATTTGGTTACGCAACATACTTTGACTGTGGGAAGTGGGTAAAGGGTATCTCATAGTCGGAACCTCGACTGCAGCGTTCTTTCTCGTTTTTATGTGCACGATTCAGTTGGTTATTTTGCTTTCAAATACTTATTGGGTTGGTTATTTGGTTTTTAAATACCAATGCACTCTATAAAATTGCCAACAATCATTTATGGACTATCAATATCCCACAACCAACCCCTCCCTATACGAATACTAAACAGTCGGCCAGCGAGGAGAGTTCCACCGATCCACAGCTAGAGCGGCAGGTCGAGACCATCCGTAATCTGGTTGACTCCTACATGAAGATCGTTACGAAGACCACCCGTGACATGGTGCCCAAAGCAATTATGATGCTCATCATCAACAATGCTAAGGACTTTATCAATGGCGAACTGCTGGCACATCTCTACGCGTCCGGAGATCAGGTAAGTTTGGCAGGTTACCCTAGAAGATGTGGCTGTAACCATGACTATATCTATTCTGTTACAGTCTCAGATGATGGAGGAGTCGGCTGAATCGGCTACACGGCGAGAGGAAATGCTGCGCATGTACCGTGCTTGCAAGGATGCATTACAGATCATAGGTAAGGACTAACATGAGTTCCAGTTTGAACGTTTATAATATATTCTTGAATCGAATTCAAGGCGACGTATCAATGGCAACTGTATCCTCGCCATTGCCTCCGCCGGTTAAGAACGATTGGCTGCCCAGCGGCTTGGACAACCCACGTCTCTCTCCTCCAAGTCCGGGTGGCGTCAGAGGAAAGCCAGGACCTCCTCCACAGGTATAACCACTTGCTAAATTATTATTAAATATAGTTGAATAGCAGGTCAATGTGTCTATTACCTTGCAGAGCTCCTTGGGTGGACGGAACCCACCATTGCCACCAGCAACAGGGCGCCCAGCGCCAGCGATTCCGAATCGCCCAGGAGGTGGGGCACCACCACTACCCGGCGGTCGTCCCGGAGGAGCTCTTCCCCCACCAATGCTACCATCGTGAGTACCCTTCTATCCTCTATCTTTATACTGTCAAATACACAAAAACATATGTGGATCATTATTAAAGGGGCTATTTGTTTAGCCACAGTATCGATGTTCCTCACTTCCTGACTTCACATAAACATCTACTTCAAAGAAATAAATTTCCTATAATCCGTGTGCTCAATAATGATCCATGTATTAGGGGTGTCACAGAAATCCTTACCAAAATGGGAAACCACAAGAAGCCGAAATGGTCGCATTGCCAAAATAATATACCTTGCTGCAAACATATTTTGAATTTCTAAGCTCTTTTTCTTTTGAATAAATGCCTTTAATAGAATGAATGCATGAATGCATAGTGAGTGAGATAGTATTTATGATCAGCAACACAATGGGCGTAGATACAAATAAGATTTTAAGCCATTAGAATAGTCTTATCTCCAGTGTATTTTGCTTGAATGCTTATTAGACTTAAAGATAGTATAAAGTTGATCGAAAGCGATTTTTGTGGCACCTCTGTGTATTTAAGTTGTATTTTTAAATTCGTAAGCGACAGTTGCGACCTGCGTTTTATCTACTGTGTTTGCTATTTAAAAAGTAACTAAAAGTTAGGTTTTTGTGAATAATATAAGTGAATCTCGGCCAAAGACGTGAGTATTCACACTATCATTATCCAACGTGACTTCGCCTAGGTATTACATGCAAATGGGTATCACAAAAAGCCAAATAAATGTAGAATTGGGAATATATTTTATTTATATTTTATTTACTAACTAAAAACACATATGTTGAAATACTAATTTCTAACAAAAATCCAAAGTCTAACCCATGTCGCTAATCAGGAATTCAACTTATTTTATAGAAATTATGATTTCGATTGGGATTTATTTTTGAGTTAAGAAGTAAGAAAGAAGTAAAAGTTTGGCACTGCGAAAATGGAATTGAAGAGAATCGAAAATTCAAGCAAAAGCGATTTCTGTGAAACCCCGTTCCAAATAAATCTTTTTTGAATAGTCTAGTCATTTTTTAGGATGAGTGTTAAATTTAAGTTGAATAATAATGTGCTTGGACCAGATTTCGTGAACGAACTTAATAAAACCCTATTGTTGTCTCTTTTTTCTCTTTCTATGTGAAACGATAAAAACAAAAACACTATTAAAACACACTCAACACAACACCAACTCGAAAATAAAAATAATTTTAAACCATATAATACGAACAGGCGTCGTTAAATTGTTGTCAGCGTCGAGAGACATCTATGTATCTAGGGGATGAATCCGCAAAAAGTAGCTTGCTGACGATTTAACCAACCACAAACAATACCCAATTCTACTTTCAACAATTGTAATTTGATATTATTCCGGCAAAATCCGAAAAACCAGATATCCTGAATTCCAGAAATCAACAACGATGGGAAATCGATACATTTGAATCGCTTGCGTATTATTGTAGTCATATATATATAATCTGAAGCGTTAAAACTGATATAAATTCTTAATATGTGAAAAGCAACTAGTCGAGATGCACATGATTTCTTTAATTCCATAAGATGTTTTTCGTAATGTCTACTTTCCTGTGTAGATATACAATATATACATATGTGTACAAATGTATGTGCATTTGTTCGTGCATGCCTAATTAATTATTATTATTTGATTAATTGATTACTTGATGTTCCCCCATTATCAACGGCATACGCTCAAAAGTTATGTAAACTATTTGTACGGGCAGATGCTTAGTGACGATATTAACCAATGATCTTAATTATATAGCTAACTATTAATAAATAGCTTTCGTTAACTGCATTGTGTTGTTGTTGATGTTAAACTATAAAACCCAATTAAATTAGAAAATGTTAGGTATCGCAGCGTTGAGAACATTTCAAGTCAGTCACAAAGTATTTCCTTGAACTTAAAACAAACTAACAAATTACTAACTAAAATCGAACTAACTTAATGCTAAATTACCCCAACCATTTAACGGAAATGCACACTGCAATTACATATTGGGATTCAAACTAATTACATAAGTAGGACTTGCTTTCGCTTTTCGCTATTATCGCGTATCATTATCTCTTCGCCATGAAGTTCGATTGATTTCTGTAAGAAAAATGTTATATTCCCCATCCGTATTCTCGGATTTGTGGAATCATCAGCTGTCCCGTTTCCAAGAAACGATTAAGTTACAGGATTAAGTTAACGCTTATTTGTATTGTCCATTCCTTTTTGTATTTGTAGGTTTTTGTTTAAGTTTGTTCAGGTCAGAAGTCAAAATACTTATTTGAGTTCGATGGAAGCAGGTTTTTTTTATTGCAATGTATATTTGCGAAATTAGCAGAGATTTTTTTGAGTGGTTTGTATCGATTCCCAGGAACATACAATTATACATATGTATAACCATTATTATTGCCAATGTCATAAAGTATATATTTTTTTAAATTGACATTAAACCGATTTTTTGCCAAGACAACCCTAAAAATATCTATATGCATTCATATATATATATTAATATATATATATATAAAATACGTGTTTCCAATATTTTTATGTACAATGTATTATTTATAATGTTGATTACAAATATATAAGTCATGAAAATACTCTTGTGACTTACTCAAATGGATTGTGACGATGGAAATATGCAGCAACTTAAATTACATATGACCAGTTTACGTATACACAAATAAAGTGCATAAATAAATACATAAATTGTTCGTATTACATAAGTGTGTATTGCTTACTGGCGGGGAATAGGCGACTAGCTATTACCTATTGCTTCATGTTTGGTGTGTATCTATCAAGAAGTCGCGATGCCTGTGCAGATGTAAATGCATGGCGAAGTCGAAGTTGGGTAATGCTAGAGGTAATAATACTCTATCTAGTAAGGGATCGTCCCTTTATGCCACAACAGATCCGAATGATTTGAAAGTGAATATATGCATAACTGAAGGTCCCTCGATTCAAGCATTTCAGTTACCAAAACTAAATAATCCCCTTGTTCATTTTCAAAGCCGTGTGTCCGGAGCTGTCGGCGGCGCCATTGTCCAGCAATCGGGAGCCAATCGCTATGTGCCGGAGAGTATGCGTGGACAGGTTAACCAGGCCGTGGGCCAGGCAGCCATCAATGAGTTGTCCAATGCCTTCAGTTCGCGATTCAAGTAATGCCCGCAAGATTGAGCACAATATGCAGCGTATGCACATAATCTACAGAAAGTTAGAGCCAGCACGCCCGCCCCTCCTATCATATCGTTTTATCAAAGATGTATCATCACCGCCCCAAACCGAAGATGGCAATGTGTCAGTGTTGGTTTGAATATTTGGGTCTATAGAAAAATTCAACGGTGTGCTATATGATCTTTGGCTAATTCTATATTCAAATTAGTGCTTTCGAATTGATTTCATCGTGGATAACATTTACTTTTTAAAGTATATTTAAACGTGAAATAAATAAATTTATTTTCCAAAACGAGTATTTATATGTAAAGCAATGCTAGCTTCATAGAGGGTATTCACAAAGGGTATTATATGATATTTGAATCGCGGTGAAAGCAGGCGGATGAGTGCAGGAATGCAATAAAGCCAGTATTTTTTTAAAGCTCAAATAAAACCGAAGAAATATCTAAAAGAAAATCGTTAATTGCAGTGTTACAATGCTTCTACATTGATGGTAAACATCTAACTATGTACTCACTCTAAAACATGTATGAACTATCCTCAGAGCAATGAATTATATGCGAACAAATATTATTTAGCAGCGGTATGTCCGCAAGAAATTATACAAAACCTATTCAATGATAAATATTGTGTGTGTTAAGGTTATGGTCTTTAACGATTCTTGTTTATAGACGTTTGTTAATAAGAAAATAAAGAAAAAATAAAGTATTCGCGTTGCCTTTTATTAGTTGGATTCGGTCGGTAAGCTAAAATGGTTCATCTGAAAGTAAATTATATGAAAGTATACACATACAGACCTTTTAAGGGTAATATACATCATATTGATACACATCAAATGCTTTTTCCTATCATTTATTTACCAATTAAAATTATTATTATTCAAATTTAACTTTAACATATTGTTATTCTCTTTATGTTGGATGGTTTTTGTAAAACTTGCATTTAATAGTTCGTTCTTTTTTGGTTATCTGTGCAGGATTTCGAAAAGCTTATATACAAAAATAAAATGTTGCTTTACTGCTTACAATCAGTCTCGTTTTTATGTTTCATCCATTTTAAAGTTTCACGATGATTATTTAAAACTATTTTATACAGAATATTTATGATAGTTACAATAAAAACCCATAGTTTGGTAAAAAAAAAAGTTGGGTAAATATGCAATACATCGGTTTAGATGTAAGTAGTGTCGTGATATTCGCCAATCTTACGGTGATCGGACTATTAGGATCCTATACAGTAGTAAAAATAGAGTAATGTATAGTTTAAACTTAAACCTGGTATAACTATCATTTGACACCTCAAAATGTAACGTCTTGTATCTCGTTTTGAGCCTGCGCCTGCATCTTGCACGTATGCGTTCGATGTGGCGCTGCCGACCCAAAGTTGTGCTGCTGCTGATGCTGCTCCGCGCAGTCGGCTGGAGCCTTCGGCAGCGGCATGGATCTTATTGAGATTTGCGAGAGGTGCTGCGATTGGTGTATTTGGAAGCGACCCTTGTAGTATAATGTTGACATTTGTTCTGGGTCAATGTTCACTAGAAATGGCTCCAGATTCCGACTGTGCTCTTTAAAGATGTCCTCCATGTGCAACATGCAATCCTGCACCTGAGCCTGTTCATAAGAACACAAATGAGTGCTACATACCAACGCTGCTCCTTTGCCATACTCACTTGCTCCACGCTGGTCAGATCGGTCATAAGACTCAGGAGGAAGTGCAGGTTGTGTCCCGAGCGCAGATGCCACTTTAAGCCGTTCATCGATGCAGCTATGCTTGAGGCAGCTATGGTGCTGGCCGAGAACTTGGCGAATTTATGTTCTTCAAAGGGGGAGAAAAATCTTTAGTACTTTAAGTTATGGACTTATGGACTTATATGGCTTACCTTTTGCTGCCAGTGATATAAATGCCTGAGCATGTCCCCGCACTTTTCCAATGTTTATGTCCGGGAAGTTTTTACTTCCTATCGGCAGGCGCATCATCAGAAGCTCAAGAAAGTCCAAAGGAGTCACCGATGAGAGGTCCCAGCCCAAGCGGCTGAGCACATACAGCTCCCATTTCTTAAGATTGAAATAAAATGGTTCGTTCATGGTAGGTATTGCTTAACAAGGAATGTACGTACAATCAAATCATCCTTATAAATGCTGTTGTCCGTATAAACAACCAGTAGATCCACCGAGAGAGCACGACAGCTGGGTTCACGGAGCTTTGAAGCCAGTAAAAGGCAAGCTGCGGCCAATATTTGTAGATGGGTCTTGCGTACTGATTTGCTCGAGAGAAATCGATCCATGTAATTCAATGCCAGTAATACGACCTCTTCCTGGCAATTTTCTTCAGCACACACCTGTGAACATAATGCAAGCATTCAATTAATGAGTGGAAAAGTGAGTGACATATTACAATGTGTGTGAGGTAGGGACTACTATACGAAATATGAATAAATAAAATACTATTAAATCCAAAGTCCGTTCTACAATCAGAAAGTCAAATCAGAATTAATATTACAATTTTGTATTGTTCACATTACGGATGGATATTCACTTAACAGCTTGGTATATGCACTTTCTATAAACTTTAATATCTCGGAAAGTAGATTTTTGGAATTAACTTTGTTGGAGCAAAACAATTTTATATATAATATATCTACTCAGATTGCAAATTGGTCAATCAGTTATATGTAATAATTTATGTAATCAAGTATTTTTTCAAAAAGATTATAAATATAGAGCATACGACAGGCGGTTAGCTCAATTTGATTTTAATTCTTTATCTACATTTCGCTTGATTACTCACTTCCATCATCCATTCAGCGACAATTTTGCGCATCGGTGGCGTAATATCCTTCTGGATGCTAAAGTACGTGTCGGCAATCTTGTGGTGCTTCTCCTCGACCTTGAGGAAGTTCTCCAGACACCGATCCGAGTACAATGTGGGATCCCCGATGGCGGTGTTCACGTTATCGGTTGCGGGTGGATCGGCTGTAGTGGCCAGGCGATCGTCGAAGCGTTGGCAATGTGACGTCGGTGGATCTTGGCTGATGAAACGCGGATAAATTAGGATAGATTGGGTCGCTGTTGGTGGTGGCGGCGGCGGTGGTGGTGGCGGTGGAGGGGGCTTCAATTCTTCTGGATTCTTTGCAGCCGAGTCCACCGATGCGTATATATACACTAACTCCTTCATATTGCACACAACGGCGTTGTTCTGGGCATCGGGATGGGGATCGGATTCCCCGGCTCCCATGGGCGAACATATCGATGTTGAATCCCGGATGATCGCCGGCGTGGACATTTGCTGTTGGCGTTTGTTCAAACGATACAATGATGAATCAGATTCATAGACTATGTTTTCCGAGCATAAAAGATCCATTGTTTCGGCCAGAGGTTCGGTGTAAAGCTTTGGGGTTCTCTCTCGCGTCACCCTCAAGCCATTTATGTCCGCCGATTTATCAGGAACTTTGTGTAACTCCGATATGGGAATACTGCGTACAAAAAAAAGATCATACATAAGTACATACATATGTATATTGCAACCTTTTTTTCACATATAATTCAAGTATTTGCTCAAGTATGGGCACACTGCTGGCTTATATATATTTGGTCCTGTGTGAACACAGGAATATGGCATATAACCCTATCTGTTTGATTTATTCGTAAGCACATTGCACGTCTTTATTTACAATTCGACCTGCTCAGAAATAAGTTTTTCATCTCACACTATGTACTTATGTACATGTACATACATGGCTATGTATGATCAGCTCGAGAACACACGTTTTCACTTGCGCCTATTCTTGGAATTAGCACATTCCGACTAATTCGTTTTATTTACAGGCTGCACAGTACTCCATAGAGTAATTCAACTTAATTATTAAAAAAGTATACTCGAACTTGCACACGTTTGCCACTTAACCGGCGTGGACAAAGCATTGAACCATTGAACCAGATAGTTACACCTTCTATTAAAAAAAACTAGTTCGGCTTGCCATGTTCGAAGTTATACCCTTTGCACACTGCGATCGGTTAAGCATATCGATCTACATCGATGACTAGTATTTTTTATGATGGGAAATGTAAGCGGAATATAAAAGGGAACCCCCTTATTTATTTTCAATTTTTTTTTGGTGGTGAAGTATCTTGCGTAAAGTGTTATATTTTAGAATAATAAAAACTCTCTTAAATGGGTTTGATGGGGTGTGAAAGGGGTGGAAACTCACTTCTTAGCTCCTACAAAATTGCAATTATTTTTTAGTCTAAATGGGCTTTTTGTTTTAAACGATCAATTAACTTTTGATCGCAGTTTCACATCTTTCAAATATTCCAATCATTCCAGCTTGGATTTACCAAAATCAAAAATACTATAATATGCTACGACGTTGCCACCTTGCATTCATGTAAAGATGACACTGCATAGCCGATCATTTTGCAAGTCATACATATAACGATCATGGTCCACGACAAAATGGCCAGTGATGCGAAACTAACTGGTTTTAGTTCACCCAACTAAGTTTTATGGGGATCAAAACACCCTATTAAATTTCGTTTAAATGCCTGGAACCTGTTGCTTACATGTCAGATTGTTCTGAAGCTTTCCAGCTGCACTTAAAGATACTTTTCTGCTTACAAATAGCATTAAATTACTGTTTCACTATTTTCTTGAGGATAAACAGTATTAACCTTTGCATCTTCTTAGAAATGAAATACATACATATGTAAATAAGTACGCATTGAGAATAAAATGTAGTTCCATGTCCAATGACACAGTCTTGCTTTTGCAAGATAAGTTGTTCGCCGAAAAACTGCAGCGTTGGCAACGCTATTAATACTGCAATCCTTAATTGTGTTCGCATTCGTCTAACTACTTAGTTGTTGCAAGTGAATTTGTCCCCACTCTTGAAACGCAGACAAAAGCTTCTGCTTCCCAGAAAAAGCTTAAGGATTCAGAGAAAACTTTTAACAGCACACGAGAGTTGAGTGGAACACTCGCGTCCGCCGACTTCGCTTACCGTCAGAGGGATGCTGTAATCCCCTGAAATTTTATATTCGTTATATTGCCGAAGAAGACAAGAGACGTGCTGTACGAAAATAATTTTCATTCACGTAAATTGCCCACACAAATGTGTGCTGAACAATTAGCTGATTCAATTGTTCTTGTCTTGAAATCGAAATTCTTGGAATTGAAAAGTGCCAAAGTTTCAGGAGGTTCCTTTTGTTTAATAATACTGTGTTTAATATGCATATGTTCGCGTGTGTGGTGCGCATGACACACATACATAAATGCCAACAAAGTCCCAAAAATCGCATCCATTCGCGAGGGGACTTCGCAGGACGTTATAAACACCTTTATACACATTTTGGAAATGCCACACTCAGTGCCAAGCCCACGCAACTTATAAATAGGATATATATTGAATAAAGTACTGCTATGAGCGGAGTGCCGCATGATATTTCAATGGATCGAAAGGGTCCTGGACCTACAAAGTAATCTTCTGGCGATTAAATCTTCCGTTTAGTGAGACAACGTAATGCAAAAAATGTTGTGGGCGTACAAGTCAATGTTTTAAATGTATTGACTTAGAAGTGCATAAATCGTAAACATCCCAGTGAGACAATAGCAAATAATAAACCAGACGTGCTAAAAACACCAGTGCTAAAAAATAAGATGAATAAAATAAAGTCCATTGAGTGACACCCACGCAAAGAACAAGTGTGCTTAAG